AAGTGCCTTAGGCACTATGCTACCAGAGCTCCTAAGACTGGTCATTTTTATGATTTTGGGATTTGTTCCATATTTTTCTGCTATTCTATCCAGTATCTCCTACAGAGATCCCCCTCTCAGTAGTTGACAGTGGTAGCCGGGCACCATCTAGGTTCTTCTGGTCTCAGTCATATAGGCTGAGGATCACATGGGGTACCAGTCCCTTGGACTAATTGTTTCCATGCGCCTTTGGTTTTCTTCATTCTTCTTTGTTCTGGACAAGGAGAGACCCATCACTGCATCTAGATGGCTGCTTGGAAGCTTTTAAGATTCCAGTCATTACTCACCAAAGTAGAATGTGAATCAATGTTTTTGTATAGTATGTTATGCCAGTTGAGCTTGATGCCCCCTCTGACCATGGCCCTGAGCCCACAGGTCCAACTACTCAAGGGCTCCAAGTAGCTGGCTATGGCCAAAAAGTAATGACAACCCTGTCCCTTGTCAGCTCTACTATATACCTGAACATTCTTACAGAATGTACAAATACACTTGTAGAAACATGGTCTGCCAACCCTATACATGGTCATGGACACACTCCTCCCTCATAGATATACCTAATCATTCAGCCTGTCCACCCATCTATCCACCCGTATATAAATGTTTGCCATCACTGACAATGCAGTACTGTATGAAAGCTCACTGAATTTTAAAAAGAAAGTGTATTTAACCTAATTTGGGAGAGTCACAAGTTTTTATTAGTAATAGTTCAGTGAGTCAATCAGGAAGCCACTTTGTAATAAAAATTCTATCTTTGTCTTCTCCATTAAAAGATTTTGAATAAAATTTCAAAAACAGTAAGAAAAATTATAAACAACAACAACAAAATACTTTTTAACTATCTATATTTCATTTTCAAGATTGGTAAGCAATGAAAGAAAGAAAAAAATGTAACAAACCTTTTAGTATTCTTTTTAATCCTACAAGAAAAAAAAAAAAAACCCACTGCCACTGAGTCGATGTGACCTCCACTGGGTTTCCTAGGTTGTAAATCTTTACAGAAGTAGATTGCATGGTCTTGCTTCTGAAGAGTGGCTGGTGGGTTTGAACCGCCAACCTTCTGGATAGCAGTGAGATGCCTTAGTCACTGTGCTATCAGAGCTCCTTATCCTACAGAAAAGTCCCTGTTAATTTGTTTTCTAAATGCAAATAAAACAGAAATGGAAACAGAAACATCCAACTGTTAAAATTAACCCCAGACAAAAAATGAATGTAACAAACAAAAGTCAAAAGGGTCCTTTTGACTATTGGTGTTTTAAATCTAGCCAAAGAAACCTAGTACAGAATGTAGAGCTTAATGCTGACTTCATTAATGGATTTTTAAATCAGGGTTTCATTTCTTAAAAACAAAGAGCCTGATTATATAGGATTATCATTCCAATACTCCTTTTGTTTCAGAATCAGGAAATCTTAACTGAGTTAGGTGCTCCAAACAACTTGAATGAAAAACCTTTTTATTTTAAATTGATGAGGAACTGAAGATATTAGGAAATGAAATCAAATATCTGTAGTATCACCTCAAATTGAATTCGCCTTATTCATTTCTGAGAGGGGTTCTTGTGGCACAGTGGTTAAGGCATTCAGCTGCTAACAAAAAGGTAAGTGGTTCAAACCCACCAACTTCTTGATGGCAGAAAATGAGGCAGTCTGCTTCCATAAAGATTTACAGTCTTTGAAATCCTATGGGGAAGTTCTACTCTGTCTCATAGGGTTTCAATGAGTAAGAATTGACTTGACAGCAATGTGTTTGATTTTTGGTTTTTATGCATTTCTGTGGCCCCCAAATGCTAGGTTATCAAAATGAATGACCCCAATTATGAAAATGTAAAAAGAAACAAATCTGCCAAAATTCCCACAAGAATGACTGCATTTTAAAGAAAAACAGCTCCTGATAAAAATAAAACTATAGAAATTAGGAATATATATAAAATCCAAATACATAGGCACCAAACCAAAACAACAACAAAAAATAAACCCACTGCCATCAAGTTGATTCCAACTCATAATGAACCCAATTGAGTTTCCAAGGCAGTAAATCTTTACAGAGTGGAGTAACTGGTGGGTTTGAACTGCCAACCTTCTGATTATCAGTCAAATGCCTTAGGTAATGTACCACCAGAGGTCCTTATGCTTAGGCACAGTTCATATAAAAGGAAGAGATACTGATTTGGAACCAGGAAAACAATTAGAGTGCATTTCACTGTACCTTTTACAAACATTTCAACAACTTACCACCATTAACAGAGTATGATCTATTAACTGGAAAATGTGGAATAGTTCCTTCATTAATTAGTCTCAGATCTTGTTCTCTCTGTAGCTCCCTGATTATTCCATCAAGAATACTCTCATCTTGATCACTGGTTTGCTGCCCAATTACCTGTTCTACCACTTCACCATCACCTTAATGAAACCAAAGATAAAGCCACAAAATTACTTATACTTCAGTGTGCCCGAAGTACAGCAAAAACAAATGTATTTATGGATTCCTAGACATATTAAAATTAAAGTATATATCAAGCAAACAAATTGTAATAAAAAACTTTTTTAAAGACTTTTACATGTTTTGATGTCAGCTTTTATATTTGATTTAACCACTGTCCCAAAATTAGGCATGACTGAAGGACTTTTCATCTTAAGGAATAATTATGGAAGTTAAATAATTCATGCTAAAATTAATTTTCTCCACAGTAAATTTTAAGCTAAAAGTCAGATACATATAAATAGAAATTCCAGTAAAGTTTAAAAAAGTTCAACCACAGATACTTAAAATATTTTTGCAGAATTTCCTGTTTGAAAGAAGTCAAAATTATGGTCTTTCAAATACTGTGTTTTGATAACACCTCAGTATTTTTATGACTAGAAAAATTATTTTTATGATACATTTAAAGATTATTTTTTAATAAATTATTTACTTCTATGATTTCTTTCTTAAATACATCTCTGAACTGCTTTTCATCTTGTCCTCTAGTAAAACTAAATAGTATCTGATAGTTAACCAAGAGATCAGATCTTACAAGAACTGAAGCATAATAAATCACACATCTTTTATTCAGATCTTCTCTGGTGGCGTAGTGCCTAAGGCATCTGACTGCTAATCAGAAGGCCAGCAGTTCAAGTCCACCAGCCACTCCTCAGAAGGAAGACTGGGCAATTTACTTCTGTAGTGATACTGCCTTGGAAACCCAAGGAGGGGTTGCTATTGAGTCAGACTGACTCATCGGCAGTGAGACAGTTTAATCACCTATTTCATATTTACATTTTTCCTCACTTTTTAATAAATATGAACTCTATAAACCCTCATGAGAGAGAATATTAAAAAAAAGGATGCATGGAATTTCATCTTGTAGTGTCAATTCAAATCTTAATTCCCTGGTAAAGAAATAGAATTCTAATTGCAAATCAATAACTCACTACCTCTTACCTGGCAGAAACCTATGAGTGACAACCTTAGATATGAAGGCATTTTAGGGTGTTAGGGGCTTGGAGGGAGCAGTATGAATAAGTAAAAAAAAATGCTAATCAGAAGAAACCAATTTGCTCTGATATAGAACATTTTATTTTACTATGCTTACACATCATGTATTACACATCTGTTTGCTTCCTCAATATCCTCCAAGACTGAATGTTATTTAAATATTTATGTCCCTCTCCCCAACACTCAATAATTCTTTGCATTTCAAATGTAAGGACAGGCACATAGTTATTTTCAGTTTGTGGTTTTTGAAGTTTCCTCTTGTGTTAGGTCTATTAACTATCTGACTGATGAAATTTGTCTATAGTTATAAAAGTTAGTATATTTAATCATTAATAGAAGCGAAGACTATTAAGGGATAAGAATCGTATGTTCAAGGTTTCTAAGAAAGTAGGTCACCACATTCTCTACTCGAGGGTATGCTTTTTGTTCTAGCCCACATTATCTGTGTCCAGATGAGACAAACAATGTAAAAGTACTCCATAAGGTAAAAAGTAGTACAGAATTGAAAATTAATAAACAATATTACATAAAACATACTATAACCTACTCCAGAGTTTATCAAGTGGATATACATAATATAGAAAACAGCAGGAAATGCAACATTTTATAAAATGTTTTAAATTTAATTTTGGAGAAAACATACCATTAGCCACATAACCAAGCTGCGGTATAAGCTGTTCGTCCTTGCAATTTTCCCGTCCTGGTACTAGCCGTTGGAATTTTGTGGGATGAGGGTTTCCATCAACATCCACCAAGAATGGGGGAGGCATGAGGTGAGGAGCTTGTTGGGTTTGTTCATCCAACACATAGTTGTTAGCATCACGAATAAGAGGTCGATAATCAGTGTGGAAGAACATCTGATCTGGAATCTTTATGACAAATTTTTAGTATTTAGCATATACAAGGAGTTTATAGATAAGCACATATTTTCATTCCTAGGGCATAAGCATTTTTCAAATCAGGCAATTTTTATACTCTTTTGTAGTCTTCTATTACCAACATGTTTCCTCCTAAGTGTAAGTGAATTACCTGGATGATATTCCCACATTTTCTCCCCCAAATTCTAAAATGTGCATTATTTTTTTGCCCTGTGTAATATTTCTCCAGTTGTGATAGGAAGAAGTAAAGCAACAATCCAGTGAATAAAATTAAGTAATAGTTTTAAGTTGCAAAAATCATATGCCCCTATATAACTATCTTTTTATTTTTATTCAAATAAAGATAGATGAAATAAAATATTAACGATGAGACAGACAAGTATCAATCATATCAAAGGCATTAAAAGGTAATTTATATACTGGGCTAAATCCAATGCTTCTGAGTTCTCCAACTCTAAGATTCTAAAATCTATTCCAAATTCACAGCTAACAAAATATAATGACCTAATTAAGTTATCTTCCAAGATATTCCCATAGGATTAATAATAGGCAAAACAGTCAACCAAGAAAATAAATATAGCCAGTCACTAGCTGTTTATTCCCACATAAATAATTTTTGGTAAGCAGAGGATACATTCTGCGGAAGGCATTCCATATTACACCAGGAAGGTGGTTCACAGAATCAGTTCTAAGCAAAATTATTTCCTAATTAATTTTTATATCTTCATCAATCACGCTGTATCTTAAGAATTATTCCTACTACTAAGTATAAGGTGCTGGCAATGATAGAAATATTTATGAAGGCAACTTTATTTTATATATATTCACACACAATCCTTATTAACTGGAAGAACTCAACCCAAATTAATCAATGATAAATTTTTATAATGATAATCTACAACAAAAATTAAATATACTAACCTTTTCATAGTATTTACTGCACCCAAAACCAAAGAGCAGCAAATGCCCATGAGAATCTGTACAGGCAAAATGGTTTCCATCTGGTGAAAATTTACAATCAAACACTGCACCGTGGCCTTGACCTTCAATCTGAAATTTAGAAGAGTCTCTCTAAGTCATCTTAAGAATAATTTCAAATAATAAGTAAGTGACAGATTCTGTGATGCATCAATATCCCAATGTACTCTCTTTGGCTTCTTTTCTGTAGCCAGAACCCTACTGAAACAGTAAAGCTCTGACATAAATTAAGGAGTATCAAAAGGTAATGGATGCCAGCAATCATTACGAGCATTGTAAAGAAATAGTACATAGGTGAGTAAGAAGATTTTTAAAAAGACCCAGATCTATTTAAATTGACAAACGTGCTGTCTCAGCAAAGTCAAAACATTATCTTCACATTTAAAGCTGTAATGAAATCGAACCTTAAAATAATCAGCGTCAAATTAAAACACACAAATCCGAGACAGTATTTCTACAAAAGCAGATCACCCAATCTTCCGTCCGAGGAGTGGCTGGTGGGTTTGAACTACCAGTGTTCTGGTTAGCAGTCAAATGCCTTAGGCACTATGCCACCAGAACTCCCTAACAAAAGAGAGACAGTATCGTGAACACTCTGGATCTATATAAAGTCTTAAAAGGGAGCTCAAAGGGTAACAATTTAGAAATGCTTATTTAGAACTATTATTCAGAGAGGGACACTAAATATGAGGGATATGAGTATTCCCATTACCACAGAAGGATGTTCTACTGGGAGAGGAGATAATTTGTCAGATTTTTTCATGGTTTGCATGAAATGTATCTTAGGAGTATTCCTAGCTCCAACTCTATGTTTACCAAACAAATTCAATTACTAATTAAGTCATGTAGGGTTTACTCGGAGCAGACATAAGTATTACAATCACTGTAGTAATTTATAAATTGAGAATATAGTTTAAACATTAATATTTTTGTGAGCTTGGTTAGTGTAACTCCGAAAGGTTAATAAATGTGTGTTTCTAGAGTTTCAGGGCTGAGGACCATAACTTCGAAAATGCTGACAACACCAAGATAATACAATCACCCTAAAAGGTCTTATTCAGTATCCGCCTTACTGTCAGGATTCATTCTCTGAGTTATTTCATGAACTTAAGCACAGATGATAAGTTCCTTGGCAGTATGAATACTTTAGTTACCAAATTATCACATAAGAGAAGTCAGTTTGAATAAGAATTAAACACAGATTTTCCTTACCATGTTAAAGTAATTTCGAATTTTGGTCCCCCGGTCAAGGTCCCAAATAAAAATGTTCCCATCATGACCCGCTGAAAGTATGATCCTTTGATCAAATGGATGTGCTTCCAAAACAAATACTTCATCATCATGTCCCTGTGATAAAATCAGTGTTAAAAATGAAAAGTAACACAGAATATCTGATTTAATTAGTCAAGTCTTGAAAACGTTATCTATCTGGTTCAGATGATTCCACGCACAATAATTTAACAGTATTTACTCCATGTACATTACATGAACTCATTAAGAGTTCTTTATATGCATAATTGCTGATTTTATAGAGTATCAAATGAAGACAGTTTAGTTAGGGCTATTAACCAGGCCCTTGAAGTAGAACTGGTATTTCTAGAACTATTTAAAACCAAAACCAAACCTAATGCCATAGAGCTGATTCTGACTCATAGCTAACACCACTGGGTTCCAAGGCTGTAAATCTTTATGGAAGTAGAGTGTCTCATCTTCCTCCTGCAAAGCAGCTGGTGGGTTTGAACCACTGGCCTGGTTAGCAGCCAAATGTGTACCCATTGTACCAGCACAGTTCCTGTCAAAGGTCACAGAAAATGTGACAAATGTTTCCCAGTAAAGAGTCAAGCAAATAGTACTAGCTTTTCAGACATATTAATAGAAACTTATCAAGGAATAGGGAATGTGAGAACCAGGTAAGCATGGGCTTAACAGATAAAAGGAAGAACCTCAGACTTCACTAACATAAGGCTAGGGATTTATTTAGGAAAGAGAACTTGGGAGGTATATGAGAGCTAAAATGGAAATTGTCTCAACATTAAACAAATCTTTAGAAACCAAAGCAGCCTTAGACTAAGATTATCTCACACTGAAGTCAAATAAAGATGTCACCATGGTATACCACAAAGAGAACTGAGTTAAGCACCATGAAAATTATGAGATTCTAGCCTGAAAGTAAAGATTTGAAGCCTTCAGTATGGATTACACCTCAACACAAAGAAAACTAAAAACCCAACTAGACCAATAAGCAACATCATGATAAATGAAGAAAAGATAAGATGCTGTCAAGGATTTCATTTTACTTGGATCCACAATCAATACCCATGAAGAAGAAGTCAAGATATCAAACAATGTATTTCACTGGGAAAATCTGTCACTTTGAACAAAGGTAACACTTTGAAGACTAAGGTGGGCCTGACTCAAGCCACAATATTTTCAATCACCTCATATGCACATGAAAGCTGGACAATAAGTATGGAAGACTGAAAAAGAATTGATTCATGTGAATTATGTTGGTGAAGAATATTGAAAATACCACAGACTGCCAGAAGAATGAGCAAATCTGTCTTAGTAGAAGTACAGCCAGAATGCTCTTTAGGAGCAAGAATGGCCAGACTTCATCTCTCATGCTTCAGACATGACAATCAGGAGAGATGAGTCTCCGGAGAAAGATATAATGCTTAGTAAAGTAGAGGGTCAGCAAAAAAAGGGGAAGAGACACTTCCCTTCCAGTAAGATGGAAGAATAGGCAGACAAGCGATACAGACACTCTTCAACAAAGAAAATAAAAACCAATTTACAGAGATACAGAAGATAATCCTGGAACCTTGAGCTTTGAAAGGAACTATGCAGAAGTGGATTAGGTACCAACTAGTGGAAAAAACTGAATGAAAAGAGTGAGTACAGAGCCGCTCGGGAGCTGTGGACTGTCAGCTATTCTGATGAAACCAACAGCCTGAATACTTCCAAGTGGTGTTGGGACCTAAGAATTGACCTAAAGATCAACTCTGGTCACCAAGGACCACAGGGACAACAGTGCGGGTGGCCTATGACTAGGAAGGGAAACAGCAAGGAGGGAGACAACCTGAGCTGTGGACTTTCTGCTGTCTGGAGGGTGCACCCATTTTGATTGTTTACACACAGAAGCCATTCTGAATGTTTACAAGTGGCGGCCATTTTGGATATTTAAAGTGACCGAGGACACAGCCATTTTGAATGTTAACAAGTGGCAGCCATTTTGGATATTTAAAGGGACTGAGGGTGCAGCCATTTGGAATCTTTACAAGTGGCAACCATTTTGGATTTTAAAGTGATAGCATTCTCTTTCGGATTCCAGGGACCTAAGAATGAGCTCTGTTTGCCAAGGTTGGCAGGGATATATGAGATGCTGACAAAAGGTGGTGAGTGTATAAGTACTGTCAACTAAAGAACAGAGGAGCACAGTACCCTGCTTGCATAGATAACATACAAACAAAATAAAGAAAATGAAAATCATGGGCACCAACATACAATCACCAATTAAATATAAACACAAAAACGTTACAATGCCTCGGAGACAACAGAGCATCACAGTCCACACAAAGAAGCAAGATAAAGCAGGAGAAAAAAGGGACCAGTATACAGACCCAAAACACATCCCTTAGGAAGATGCAGCATTGGAACTCCCTGATAAGGAATTCAAAAGAATTTTATTTAGGTATCTTCAAC